CAAGTATGCTCCCAATAATTTTTATAGAGTCAGTATAGATTGCTTTCATAAGCATAATCACACTTTTTAATAGTAGTAGACAATAAATCTAATGGATCGATGTTAAAATGATGACAGGGTACAAATGCTTCTGAGAACATATTATACATTAAAAGAATATTTGCTGTGTTGGTTTACCATTGAATGGTTTCAGATAATGGTAACAATGATTCTGGGCAAGAATCAGTTACAAATGTAAACCCTAATAATGTAATGTCGAGACAAGTATCAGTAACAAATGAAACAGTAGAGAGTCCTATTAGTAATGATAAGAACGAATTCAATGATTTTAATGAAAATACTGAAAGGATCTTTGATAAAACTGAGGTCAGACTTTCTACTACTCCAAAAGTTACTGCTACTCGTTCAGGTAGAGTAATTAAAGCTCCTACCAAATTAAATTTGTAACATTTGTTTATTAATTATTTTCTTTACTTTTTTAAGCGGGGACAATTGTTATGAAAGTACCTTTAGAAAGAGGCCACTATGTTTTATGTTAGGTTAGGTTATCTGTGTCATGTCAATTGTGAGGGTGTCAATAAATAAGTTAGTTGAAATTAGTTGAGTCTTATTTATTATAATTATATAAATATATAACAGTTGTGTCGGTCAGATAGCTCAGCGGGCTGTGTGGCTGCCTCTCATTCGCTTCACTGTCGAACGGCTCAGTGGATGTGGGATCGAGCCCCAGCTCGGTGTACAGAAAACAAAAAGTCTAACGCAGCAGTTTAAAATTCTAGATGAATCTGCGGCTTAGACTAGAATATGCTGGGATCTGATCGGCCTATGGTGGAGCAGTACGGCAAGAGATAAGGGCTTGCGGCTCGGTGATACTCCTCCATAGATCCCTACCGGACAGGCGTAACGCCTAAAAAACCGGATTTATATATATATATATATATATATATATATATATATATATATATATATATACATATTGTTATGATATTTAAAATCAAGAAAATATCGGTTTGTTTTAAAATATTTCAAAGTTCAAAAACATTAAAATAATTCAGATAAGTAGGATAATACCCAACAAACATTTCGAAGAAGGAAAGTCTTTAAATTTTTGGATTACCTGTATTAAACAAAATGTAAGCTATGCATAAATTATTTTCTTTGTTATAATATACTTGAGTGACCCGCATAATTTTAAGTGAAATCCAAAGACAATTGAACCGGGTTTTCCAAATACATTAATGCAGTGATTAAGGACAATAGAATAGATTTTATAAAGATAGGTTTTTGTTAGTTTTTAAGAATCGTAGAAAAATATTATTTGTAAATAAGTTTTAGGAAATTTTATAATTATAGGTAAAAATTTGTTTGTTATCGAAATGAAAAAATGGGAGAATTGTGACGAGCTTTGATTGGCGGAGATTGAAAAGGTGGGATAGGTATGTAGGAATGAAAGTTTAGCTAGATTTTTGAGAGAGAAAAGATAGTCAGTTGGTTTTCCAAGTCTGTAAGACGAACAGTGATTGTTCTCTGGCGGTTCCCGAGAGGTAGCAAGCAGTAGTGTTGAATGTTAGTGAGTTTTTGTGGAGTTAGTGTATCTGACAGAAGCTGAAGCAGCAAAATATTGTAAGTCATATTTTTCTACTTATATTCCAAGAGTCACTGTTCAGGCCAACGAGAGATTCAGTTTATCGTAAAGAGAAGATATTCCAAGAGTCATTTTTCACTCTGGCCAACGAGAGATTCAGTTTATCGAGAGGAGAAAGGCTATCATAATTTGAATAATTCGTGCTTTTGAAGGAGATCATTAAGGACGATATACTTGCAACAATTTGTTGTAAGATTGCTGATTACCTAGGGAGCGCCTGAGAGTAGATAATATAGTCTACAAGGAACAAGGATTTGGACCACTCATCATCAGAGAGAGATATTTTTGTTTTCTGCAGTTTTTCTTTTATTGATAACACAATTTTTACACTTAATTTAGAAAGGATATAAATATTTTGATTAGGAGAGTTAGAATAATTTGGGATTTTGAGATTTCAATTAATATTGTTTGTACCATTAATTTTGAAGGTTCACGTACGTAGAACAAAATTTTGAGAATCATTATATGAGATTTTGTTTATTGAAAACATTTGAGTGTGAATTATTTCATTATTTTTATTTCAATATATAGTGTTATATCATATGTGTTTTTTATTATTCCGGTATTCTTTGGACCTTACCTTTCACATGTAATAGCATAGATATTGAAGCACGAATTTAACCCTGAGATAAGAGAATTAAAAAGTGTGATAGAGTCATAATCATATCATTTAAATAATTTTAATTAATTAATTAATTAATTAGCTAATTAATTGCTTGGCGCACCAAGACTTGAAATATCACAATAATATATATATATATATATATATATATATATATATATATTATATATATATATATATATATATATATATATATATCTTTAAATTGAAATTCTTATTACAATAATTAAATTATATTAATTTAGGCTTCTCAGATCAGAATGTAAACTTATATATAAATTAAGCATCTTAAATTAATAAATAAAACTATTTTAATCCGTAATTATTATTTCAAATGTCCACTTTCTGTTCCATATCACTCTTATTCACAAAAGTTCAAAAAATCAAACTTACTTCAGTGTATCTTGGTTGCCTATATAGATGGCATACACATATGTATTTATAATATCATAATTATTAAAATAACCAAATATATATATATTATATATATATATATATATATATATATTATATATTATATATATATATATATATATATATTATATATATACACAATACTCCAATATTTGGGTGTGCAGCGGAAGATGGGACAAAGAAGTACTCTTTTTAGTTAACCAAGCTTTCGCAAATCTTTATTTGCATCGTCAGGGTGCTACAATAAACAGAATTAGTATAAATTACAGAGTAAGACTTACTTTGCCTCTTACACTAATTGAGGTTAGTTGTCTTGATGTTTATTAAATGAAACTGGCAACTCATTTGACCCCTACAACTATGGCGAAAACTATCCAAAAATTGATTTAAAACGTTCTTTAACATACATAAAACACTTAGAACACACATACATAAACATTTAAATAAAATTATGTTAAAATAGTTACAAAACATGTACGTAGTCACAATATAAAATTTTGGTTATAAATATTCTTATCAGAAACAAAAGAATTGCTTGTGAATTCGTTGCTACCAACTTAAAACGACAGAACGTTAGATCTTAAATGATAACGATGTAAAGGTGATAGTATACCTGATAGAAGCTGAACTTATTGAAAAAGAAAAGATGAAAAGACTTATTTTAGAAATAGGAGAGATATTGTATATCTCATATATAATTAAACTTATATTGTTGCCGATAAATTGTCTGTATTGGTAGATTCATGTTTATCAAAAGTTAACAATAATGAATAGAAGTGACTATATATTGTGACTTATATTGTGACCACGTACATGTTTTGTAACTATTTTAACATAATTTTATTTAAATGTTTATGTATGTGTGTTCTAAGTGTTTTATGTATGTTAAAGAACGTTTTAAATCAATTTTTGGATAGTTTTCGCCATAGTTGTAGGGGTCAAATGAGTTGCCAGTTTCATTTAATAAACATCAAGACAACTAACCTAAATTAGTGTAAGAGGCAAAGTAAGTCTTACTCTGTAATTTATACTAATTTGTTTATTGTACCACCCTGATGATGCAAATAAAGATTTGCGAAAGCTTGGTCAACTAAAAAGAGTACTTCTTTGTCCCATCTTCCGCTGCACACCCAAATATTGGAGTATTGTATTCTATTTGATCAGCGTTGATTACAAGCGTTCATCGCTTTTTCACTATATATATATATATATATATATATATTATATATATATATATATATATATAACAGTTGTCCCTATTTCTTATAATGTTCATAGCTAGATCATTAACATAAAAAAGAAATAACAAAGGGTCTTTAATATTGCCCTATGGGATACCTACACTAAGACCCCTCTCTGAGTAGTAGTTGACTCCTTGATATTTCAGAAATTCTAGATATAAAGAGAAAATTCAAAGAAGTGGCTCTAATTATATTAAGTGAATCCAATTACGTCGCAAATTCCTAGGAACAATGCAGTAGAATCTTTTTACCCTAAAGAGGAAATAAATAGAAGTATTAGTCAATAACATTTATGTTTTAAAATAACACATCAAAAATCAAAAAAATATTGAGAGTAAAATAAATGTAAAAAAAATACTTACCACGTTGGGACAGTATCATGAGTTTTCTCCTCATAATTTACTACGGGATCATTAACAGAAGAATTGTACTATTATTATTGCATAGGTTTGTCTGTTTAAAGGATAATCACATGCTATGATTTTTCTGTCATATATAGTTGACTTCATGTAATCGAATGAACTATCTTACCTTAGGGAAGGCACCCATTAGATTTTGTGCTTTTCTCTCATTGTATAAAAATATAATTTCTGGGCTTTTTGTTTCTATGTTTTTTGGAAGCATAGCTTTCTTTCTCAGATCGCAGAGGTGTGAAAAATAAAACCTAGCATAAGGACAGAATCGAATCGATTGGAATATAATGGAATCGAATCACTTCAACAACTTCATTTTTTTTTCCTTTATAGTATTTTTTCCTTTACAAGTAGTAGTATTTTTTGTATTAGTTTTCTATTTTATCTGCTTAGTATTCGTTGTATACAATGTGAAAGTCAAATTCGATTGATGAAACCTGGTACATGTAGACCCGATTATATTTGTCAACTGTGTGCGGACATATTATGTAATATATATTAAATCCTGTGTTTAGTAACAAAATATTGGTACAAATGTTATTATTAATATATTAATGAATACCTATGTATAGTTAAAATATAATGTATAATTAAAACGAAATAATAAATCGGCCTGAAATTGAGCATACAAAATAGAAATAAAAAAGCAAATTCATTTTACTTTTATATTAACTTCATTACTGAAAATAAAATACAAAACATGTTATGATTACCAGTCGTTAAATATGGTCGCTTTGTAAGTAAGCGAGATTATTGCAATAAATAGAAAATACCTTGAGCAAAATAAAATAACAGGAGACACATGTTTTTAGAGAAGCTTTGTATATGGAATGCTTTCATATCATATATATTTTAAACAATAAAATAATAGAACTATGGAGCAAAATTGTATTGTGGAAATTCGCATTTTCTGTATATAATTTACATACTAAGACAAAATCGCAATCAAAAATCGGTAACAGCTACTTTTGTTAAAATAAATAGACTAAGATAAATACGAATGTATATATATATATATATATATATATATATATATATATATATATATATACATTAAGATAATATTAAGTATCGGATGAAGGAAGGAAATCAAATTGTTTAGAAACCTAGAATGAACTTAAATGACTTAAAGAAATAATTTATAAGTTATATACTAGAGAATATTATAAAAAGTATTTATATGAGGGCATTCTTAAGAAATTAGCATAATAAAGGTACGATTCCGAACACGACCGCAAACTGCAAACCGCAGACCGCAGCGACAGACCTACTGGTTCATATGGTTTCTTATGAGCTGTATGTCGAGTAGAGCGGCACTGTCGCCACCGCAAACCGCAGGACTGCACCAGAACCAGTAGTGTCGCCGACCGCAGAGTGACAACACGTATTTTTGCTGTTTCTGAATATGTCTTCGTTAGCCATTAGATGGTTTTTAATGAGTATTGAATAACTTCCTTCAAATTGTCTATTTTTAAATAGAGACCTAGTCGGTTTCTTTTTTTTTATAATGCAAAAGTAAAAGATCGTCGTCATCTTCTTCTTCCATCAAAAGATATAACATTAATTCATCGTTGTTGATTGCGTCTGACATCCTACTTATACGACTTTTAATATTATACTATTATAAATTCCCATCGTGTAATGCTGTTGTCGCTGTTTTGTAGATGCAGTGCAGTTCTGCTCGGAATTGGTCTGACCGCAGACGACACTGTCGCTGCAGTCTGCGGTTTGCGGTCTGCAGTCTGCAGCCACTTTCGGAATTTAACCTTAATTTGTTTAAAAAGTTTTTATTTTGCAATGTATTTGGTTATTTTAATAATTATGATATTATAAATACATATGTGTATGCCATCTATATAGGCAACCAAAGATACACTGAAGTAAGTTTGATTTTTTGAACTTTTGTGAATAAGAGTGATATGGAACAGAAAGTGGACATTTGAAATAATAATTACGGATTAAAATAGTTTTATTTATTAATTTAAGATGCTTAATTTATATATAAGTTTACATTCTGATCTGAGAAGCCTAAATTAATATAATTTAATTATTGTAATAAGAATTTCAATTTAAAGATAGGTTGTTTTAAATTGATATTGTCTGTATTAGATATATATGTGTGTTTCATAATAATTATAATAAAAATAATTTCAAAAGTACTTAAAAACTAATTTCTTGAGAACCGCGACAAAAACCCTATATATATATATATATATATATATATATATTATATATATATATATATATATATATATATATATATGTTATTTTATTTAAAAATACTCATTGCTTATAAAACAATGCACAAACAAAATATCGTAGCAATGTATCTATATATATATATATATATATATATAATATATATATATAAACAAAAAGAGAGAGAAAAAGGTAAAATAGAGAGAGAGGAAAAGAGAGAGGAGAGGGCTAAACATTTATTTAATACTTCTGGTTGTTTGATGTTTCAGCCATCGTCCGTTTAATATGTCCCACTTGGTAAGTCACGATTTTATTTTGTGCAGTGTTCATTTTCATTTGTATTTTGATTATATCACATATTTTTTGCATTTTCTACGATGTTTGTGCTTATTGAAATTTTTTATCAAAATTTATTCTGTTTTCTATATTGTCCATAGTGCAGATGGTTCAGCTGATGTTTTTATTTGTTTAAAAGCTTAGATAATGTGTTTAGAAAAAATAAATATTTGCCTAACTATGATTAAAAGTCGTAACAATATAGAAATAAAGAAAAATTCAAAAGATTTAACTATTTAACATATCTACTTAAAGAACAATGCTTTTATATGTAAATTGCATTTTCATCAAGTATGTACATTTATAACAGTGTAAATTCGTCTCCATAAAATCCTCCATATACACAAACATTTTATCTCCTATTATCTTTCAGTATTAAGCCGAACTTTCTTTTTCTATGTAAAAAATGGAAGCTTGAATATTAAGTACACTTAGTAGTTAGAGTTAATCTAGAAGTGTATGACTTTTGTAACACATATCCAACGTTCTCACTTGTATTTATTCTTTGGTTTTCAGGAACATTTCTTCGCAGCGGTTTAGATGATAGACCTTTGTTGCATAACTCAACGACTTCTGTTATGTCTTTACCTCTCGTTTCGGGAAGGTAGAATCTAAAAAATAATACCTTACGTCAAATAGTATAGAAATATGAAGAAGATTAGAGATTAACAATATTTTGAAATAAATAATTAATTTGACAAATACCTAATGTATTTTAGAAATATATACAGTGTAGGAAAAATTTTATGGTCGGTATGGACCTTACGTGAGATGGAGTGAGAAACAGCTGTTTAAAAAGAGAGAGTTATATTAGGTACGCCCTTTATATCGCCGAACTCTGTGGCCGAACCTTCATGCCTAGAAATAACAAAAAAGGGGAAGTACAACGTTGCCAAACTTATCGGTTTTATTTGACCTGTTGTCTTTTTTGCATTTGAACAATGTTCTATCAAGAAGATAAAATGCTCAAGATAATCAAATTTGGGCGAAATTGATTTAAATGGCAGGTTACTGTTTTTTTTATTGGGAATATGCCACAAGTTTTCTTTACAATAATTGTAATATAACATTTTGATTTCCATTTCGGAAATCGTTTTATATAAATAAAATTTATTAATGTTTCGTATTTTAAGTACGATTTCCGAACTAAAAATCTAAACATCAAAATAATTTCCCAATATGAAATAATAAACAATTAAACATGCATACAATAACGCCACATTAAAAAATATTCATACACTAATTCTTTGGCAACGTCTAGTCTAGATAGTCTTCTGGTCAAAAGATCGAGTAACGAGAAGTAGAGGTGGGTCGTGCTAGTTTATCGTTAAGAGCGTAGAAGCAAAATTTCGGGCCAATGTTTTTTAAAAGCATTCATTTTTTTCGAATCCTGAGAAAACTAATAAATATTTTTGAAAAATTTAAACGCAGAATGAAACAATACATTATTACCGAGAGCCGAAAGTCCCTGAAAACTTCTATAATGTTTATTTTAATAAGTTATAGGGATGAAAAAAAAAACAAAATTTAGTGTGATTTTTAATTTCAAATATCTCATTAAAAAAACTTTTTGTTTATTCTAAGGGACTTTCGGCCCTCGGTAATAATGTAATCTTCCATTCTGCATTTAAATTTTTCAAAAATATTTGTTAGTTTTCTCAGGATTCCAAAAAAATTTAAATTTTTTTAAATGCTAAAAAGCATTTAAGCATTTTTAAATGCTAAAAAGCATTTAAAAATTTTAATTTTCATAAACAAGTAACTATGATTGTTTAAAAGTAGTTTCAAGTAAGAGAGTACCTACATAAACAAACATAACGGCTATTATCGTTTATGTGTATATCTTTTGAAGTGAAAGAAACTACCTAATGATATATTTATTATAACTTGAAAAATAAACTAAACAATACAAATAGTAAATCGGACTTACATTTACATTACACGTTATTATTAAATCGCGAATAGTCTAAATTGACATAAAAACATAAGTTTTTCTTGTAATGGACTCTCGATGCAGGTGTACGTGTAGATGAGTCATCTCCAATTAATTGATCAAAAATACACCATGGACTTAAGTCATATTTATTGGTTTCTTTTTCTTGTACTGGTTGATTTTCAATAGTACAATCTTCTTGTTCGTTAATTATAGAAGTAACCAGCTTCTTAACTTTTTGTTTTGTTCTGCACTTTAAATCGTGAATCCATAAATGTACATAATGACAATGTGCCACTCTGTTCTATCCCTCTAAATCTTTTTGCTAAACCCGATATTAGTAATTGTACTATGTCGGATACTATGGATGTAAGTATGCCGTTTGCTAAAATTTTATTGCAAGATTCTTGCAGGCAGCGTACCACAACAATCACTGAACTAGCATTCAAGCATTTTTGGTCACTCATTGTACTTGTTATTTCTTTAAACGGCCGTAAAATTTGGGAAAGTTGAGAACAAATAATCCAGTGTTCTTTATTTAGATTAGGTTTAAGTCTAAGTCTGTATTATTTAATACCAATGTGGAACGGGTTGCCTCTTCTAACTCGGTCATTCTTTTTAACATGTAATAGGTGAAGTTCTACCTAGTTTCCACGTCTTGGATTGGCCGTTTGGGAACTGTGTTCTGTTGTAATTAATACTTTAAAAGCCTTTCTGAAGATAAGGTACTTTTTTGAAATGTGTTTTTTTGCAGAATTGTCGAAAAAAGGACTTTTTATTTTATCTATTTGTACACGACAGCATTTAAGTGCGTCCCCCACCAATAAATTTAATCATCATCATAAATCACAATCATCATAAAACAAAACATATTTAATAGCTTTGACCATATTTGAGGAATTATCAGTTACTGCAAAATTTACTTTTCGTTTTAGACCCCACTGATTAATAATTTCAGTAATCGCTGTTTTCTGGATTATGGTTTCCAGAAAAATGGCAGCAGCCTAATAAAAAAGTTTTGAATACTAAATTTTCGGTTAAATATTGTCCTGTTAATGCGAAGTAACTCTCAGTTACTCCAGATGTCCAGAGGTCAGTAGTAATACAGATATTTTCTACTTCTTTAACAACTTGTGATCTAATAATTTGCTCACTTTTGACATAACATTCCTGAAGTAATGAACCTGACAAAGTTTTTCTTGTTGGCGGTTTATATCCAGGAATCCACCCTGCAAACTTTTTAAAAGCTGGTTCTTTAACTATGGAAAACGGATGAAACGAAAAGTTTAGTAAATCTTGAAAATCAATCAGTCCAAGAAAAAGAAACTGATAAAGATGACTTAAGTCCATGGTGTATTTTTGATGAATTAATTGGACATGACTCATCTAAACATACACCTGTATCGAGAGGTATAAAAGAAGTCGACATGTAATTGTCTGATGATATATTACCCACAAACAATTTCGAACGGAGATTGGAACTGTCCATTACCGTGGTGAAAAAACCATCGCCATGTATATCGTAACTTAACCACTATATTCATAAAATGTTGTAGTATTGTAACAAAATCTTTTCCTTGTGAACACATGTTTAACATCTGGTATAATTTTAAATAAAAGAAGAACGCGACTAACAAGAAAAGTGGAAAAACTTATGTTTTTAAATGTCAATTTAGACGATTCGCGATTTAATAATGTGTAATGTAAATGTAAGTATTTAAGTACCATTTGTATTATTTAATTTATTTTTCAAGTTACAATAAATATATCCTTCGTTAGGTTCTTTTATTTCAATACTTATACACATAAACGATAATAGCCAATATCGATACATTTTTGGCAAAGTAACATAAGTGACATTTTTGGCGAAAATAATGTTTTTCAATTAAACTAATGCTATTACTGTTAAAAAGGTACTGAAAGAGTGTAGTAAGCCTAGATTTACTTTAAACCTTTTTTAGGACAAGTTTTTTCAGTCATAATTTAAATAAGTTTAAGCAGGTTGAATTAAAAAATTGTTTTTTCTACAAATCGTTTTTGGTGACTTACGTTACTTTGCCAAAAATGTATCGATATGTTTGTGTACTCGCTAATTTGAATACTGGTAAACAATCAACTAGTTACAGTTTACGAAAAACGGTTCCGATAAAAATTAAAAAAACGAGAGGACCCACCTCTAGTTTTTTAGGTATATTAGGATCGGAACCAGAGAATATCTGATCGGAACTAATCGTCTCACTAATGGGCAATGGCCAATGAGTGTTAAAAGGATTTTAGGAGGGGAGACGAAGGGGAAATATGATTGTTATCTTTGTCTAATTCGCTGAAAATATGATTTTATATCTGCGTTAGATATCCTGTTAAATTTTACCATACCGACCTTAAAATTTTACCTACACTGTATATATATATATATATATATATATATATATATATATATATATATATATAGGTAAAAGTTTATGGTCAGTATGGACCTTACGTGAGATGGAGGAGAAACACCTGTTTAAAAAGAGAGAGGTATATTAGGTCCACCCTTTATATCGCCCAAAATGCATTAGTGGAAATAATAAAAAAAGGGAAGTTCAACGCTGCCAAACTTATTGGTTTTATTTGACCTGTTGTCTTTTTAGCATTTGAACAATGTTCTAAAGATAATCAAATTTGAGCGAAATGGATTTAAATAGCAGCTTACTGTTTTTTATTGGGAATATGTCACAATTTTACTTTATAATAAGTGTAATTTAACATTTTAATTTCCACTTCGGAAATCCTTTTATTTAAATAAACTTTATTAATGTTTCGTATTTTAAGTACGATTTCCGAATTCAATATTTAAACATCAAAATAAGCTTATTTTAAAGTCACATTGTGCCTTATTTCCAATAAAAATAATAAACTGCATCATGAGGCCACAATAAAAAAGCTTCATACAAAATTATTTGGCAACGTCGCGTCTCGCGTCGTCAAAGTTGGCGTTTTTTTATCGTTAACGCAAATGAACCGAGTTTCGTAAACAAGTAACTAGTTGATTGTTTAACAGTAGTTAAGTGAAAGAAACTAATGAAGGATATATTTATTATTACTTGAAAAATAAACTAAACAATACAAATAGTAAATCGTACATTCATTTACATTACACGTTATTAGTAAATCGCGAATCGTCTAAATTGACATTTAAAAACATAAGTGTTTCTACTTTACTTCTGTTAACGTGTACGTTTTTATTAAAATTAACAATTTGACTTTGTAATGTATCACATTTACATATTTTATAAATATAGTGGTTAAGTGAGAATATACATGGCGATGGATTTTCCACCATTGTAATGGACTCTCGATACAGGTGTACATTTAGATGAGTTATGTCCAATTAATTGATCAAAAATACACCATGGACGTAAGTCACCTTTATCGGTTTCTTTTTCTTGTTGATTTTCAATATTACAATCTTCTTGTTCTTTAATTATACAAGTAACCAGCTTCTAACTCTCTTTTGTTTTAGCTTCATTTTATCAAAATCCTGCACTTTAAATCGTGAATTCAAATGTACATAATGACAATGTCCACTGTTTATCCTCTAAATCTTTTTGCTAAACCCGATATTAGTCATTGTACTACGTCGAATACTATGGATGTACGGTTACCGTTTTCTAAAATTTTATTGCAAGATTCTTG